AAAAGTGGCTGAATTTGTTTCTAACAACAACAATGATAAAAAGTAAGTAGCTGTACAAAGATGGAAATGTTGTCCTTACAAAGGGAGAATTGGAGCCTCTGGACATCAATTGCAAAGTCACTCCACAAGTCATAGACGTATGGGCAATGATTTTAAACCACATAGAGACTCTTAAGAGCAAGGAATCGAGAAACAGATTGATGTTAGAGTAACCAGCCTCTATTGTCCGTGCAGCTCCGATGAAAATGGTGGCGAGCTCTGATTCCAGAACTGAGTTGGACCGGAGGGCAAAGCATCCAGAAAATATGAGGCGGCCGTCTTTGTTCCTCCACCGCTGACAACCATAACTTTACTAGCACTCCTCCCACGACGATCAACGACTTCTATTCCTCCACTAGCACTCCTCCAGTGATGATCGATGACCGTCTTTCGTCCACTAAACAAAGATGGAAATGTTGTTCTTACAAAGGGAGAATTGGAGTCTCTGGACATCAATTGCAAAGTCAGTCCAAAAGTCATAGACGTATGGGCAATGATTCTAAACCACATAGAGACCCTTAAGAGCAAGGAATCGAGAAACAAATTGATATTCACAGCATCACCATGCGTAAGAATTATTGTTGTATATATTTTTATTCATAGATTTATAATTAATATTTTAAATGATTGATATACAGAAAGTATTGGAGGAAAACCAGCTCAGCACTGCAACAACAAGGATGAAGAGGTTTGTTGAAGCCACTCGGGAATAATTTACTGGAGCATTGCCAAAAGTGAACAATATGGATTTGTTTTTATTCCCGGCTGAAAAAAATGGAAGTTATTACTTAATGTGCATCGATTTGAAGAATACAAAGTTCAGCATCATTGATAGCTGTGACAGGGAAATAGCAATAAAAATGAAGTATGGTTCCCAACCAAACCACATGGTAAGTTTACAAATAAGAATTGTATGGTTTTGAAATGAGTATTTTGAACATATTATATGAGTAATCGTACAATTTTAGTGTTCAAATGTTTTTATACATACTCAATGCACAAACTGTTTAAATACTTATAGGTATAGAAAAGTGTTGTACTGAAGTGGCTCAGAGATGTAAGGCACCCACATGCAAAGAAAGTGAAAAACATGCAGCCAGAAGTTGTAAGAATGGCATGGAGAAACAAGGCCAAAGAAAATGAAAGAGTGTACATGATGAGGCATATGGAAACGTTCCATGGAGATACTGATTGGGAGTGTGGACTCAACAATGGAAATGTAAGTCCACATTTCTTTAAAAAATATTTATGTAAATTAGTGTACTAACATTCATTAGTAGGAGAAAAATATGAGGGTATATCATAACTAACATATATTATAATGCAGGAAAAGGCAATACAGATTCGCGGCACCAAACCTAATCCGTAGAAGAGCCGCACACCACCACTAGGGTTTTCCTCGAAAAGTGTGTTAATAAAAAATCTATTCGTATTAGTCTTTATTATATTGATTTTAATCGAGTGTTATGTCATCTCTCCTACCGTCCTACACATAATATATAATATAAAGCATAAAACTATATTAATAAGTAAATGTTATTTATTCACAAACGATGTTAAACATTAGGCTTAAATACATTTTAGTCCCTGTAAATATGACACACTTTGTCTTAGGTCTTGCATTTTTTAGGTTTTCGCCCCTACGATATGCACTATTTCTTTTATTCAATATCTAATTCCAAAATCACTTCTCTTACAAAAAAAAGTTACTGTCAATTACATAAATCTACTAAAAAAATTAAACATGTCTTTCTATAATTTTTTGAGGCTAATATTAGAGTTAAGACAATTTAAGGCTAATTGTTCACATTATAAAAATATATATTAAAAACCTTTGAAAAATAAAATTAAATACTTTTTGAATAGTATGATAAAAAATTAATCGAGTTTTTTTGAGATCAAACAGATATTGTTATCCGGTGAAAAACACATTTATAATCGTATATTATAATGACTAATACTTGACCTATACATTCGAAAGTATAATTTATGCATATAACGCAAAATAGAAAAAAAAATACAAAAAATTATAACCAATACATGAACTTTTTGAAATTACAAAAAACTCATTCAATTAGAGGAAAAAATCGACCTGATATGACTACTCTACGCGGTTGATCGAGCCCATCATCCAAGGTGAAGGTGGACTTACCTTGGATCCAACCCCTCCCCCCCCCATTCATCGTATCTCGGACGTGGATTATGTTAAATTTTACTTGGGCCAATTTACATATCAAAATTTTAATTGTAATATTGCAATTATTATGCAGAAATTGTAACATTTTTTAGCCACACTCATATTAGAGGATGTTTGGAATCGATTCTGCTTCTTTTTTAAAGCAGAAGCAGAGTCAGAACCAGTTTTCAGAAATCGTTTTTTTTGGAACTTCTAAAAAAACTGATTCTAGAAGTAAATTAGAGCGTCAAAAGTACCTCTGCACTTTCACCCAAACAATCCAACTTCAGAGAGCAGAAGCAGTTTTAAGAATCGGATCCAAACATCCTCTTAATTAGGTTCAAATGAGAAAATGATCTTAGGATAGAAATGTGAACGAATCTGAACCGTCAGATTGATTTTCGTCAAACTGAAATGTGAGTTAGATGAAACTGAAATGTGCATCAAGTGAAATGTTCTCTAAGATCACTACAAAAAATAATAGACTTGGGACAAATTTGACTTTGATCAATGGTAGAGATTCGTTAAAATTCATAAAGTATTTCACATAGATGGGTACTTGTAGGTCAAATTCATGTCAAATTCCGTGCTAATGCCGTTTTGTTGACCTAGTTAGTAAAAATATGTTACGTGACACGGAGTTGGCACATGTACGTCAACTTCATGCCAAATTCCATGCTAATGTCGTTTCATCCCGAGCCAGTTGGCAAAAATATGTTATTGTCGGTGCCTATCAATCCATGCCAATATAGTTATTTGCGAGAATACATTTGCAAATATATTGTCTACTATTTTTTTTCCCGAGCCAGTTGGCAAAAATATGTTATTGTCGGTGCCTATCAATCCATGCCAATATAGTTATTTGCGAGAATACATTTGCAAATATATTGTCTACTATTTTTTTTCCTTGTATAGTAAAGATAAACAGGATACAAATCCCTTTGGAGGCTTGGTATATAATATAGATAAACTCCATAATTGGTATACAAATTTCACCCCCTCAAACTAAGAACAATTAAAACTCGTGTAATTAAATAGTCAACTTTTTAAAGACAAATTTTACAATATCCATACTTGGTACAGAATATAGATAAACTCGTGGAACATGAGGTACCTTTGCCATATCTATAAATCACACGACTCAAATAAAGAAATAATAATAATATAATGCAAGGACACACTCAGACACTTATTAGTTGGTAATTCAGTATACATGAATACAACATGATCCATCACTTTTGTCAAAATCATCAACATTTAAAAAGTACTTCAAACAATATATACAGATCGAGAGAAAACTAACCACATCTTAATTAATATAAACTCTCAATTGTATTAATCAACAAGTAGATATCATCATTATATAAAATTGACACACTAGCTAACTAATGTAGAGCGCGTTCTGTGACTCTATTTTTTGGCTTATCAGGCTTATCAGTCAACTTTTTAATCAAACACGTAACTTTTGATTTCACGCGCTGAATTGTGTAATAATAAGTAAAAGTAAGGTTGGAGTTACTTTTCGGTCTGTATCGACTGAAGTTACTGTATGTAGATAACCATTTTAGCTATTTTTTCATATAATTTTTTCTTTATTTTATTAATAAAATATACGGAGTATTTTAAATATATTTTTTTCAATAAATCAGCAGAATCAACCAATAAAGTCAGTTCAGCCAATACTTTCGGTAGAATCAAATAAGTTTTATTTTGAATTGGGATCAAACATATCTAATAGCTAGAGAGCTCTTGTGACGTCCGAAAAACCCTAAGAGCAGCAGCGGCGATCGTGTGCGGCTAACAAAGATTGGCTTCGATCGGCGACCTAGAAGGGAAATAGACAGTTTCGATTGTCTGGAAAGGGTTGAGAGGAGACCAGCGGCTTACGAGTAGGGGATGCGCTGAAGGAAGACAGGGTGTTCGAGAGCTAAATTAGCAACAAAGAATCTGTGGTCGTCTCTAGGATCTTCCTAGGAGTTTTTCCGGCGGTGGCTCAGGTCACCTGGCTCGGCTAGTCCCTGCGGCATCCCCGACGATCGAAGAACAGTAAAAGATGAGCGTCCGCAGACGGATTTGCAGAGGTTTGCGAAGCACGGTAAAATCCAAGTGCTTTGCCGGTGGCGGAGGTCTCGTACGGGTGAAAGAAGACGAAGAGGTGCTGATTCGACCCCCTCCCGAACCGCCGCCATGGAGGAATTGTGCGACTGGGGTTTGGAAGACTATCTCTACTTTTGATTTAGCTTGGTTGTGTTCTTTCTTTGTTTTTTATGTTGTTTTGTTGATGATGTACGTTTATTTTTGCCAGACTCTTGCATTAGGTTGGGTGGTGAGAGGTTTACTCTAACCACGTTAGGCTCATTTAGACCCATTACAGGATCAGCGAGCCATATTGCTTTATTCTGGGTGATTGACTCTAAGTCTGGTTTGAGGGTTGGTGATTGGAAGTGGTCCTTTTACTTTCTTGTTCCCTTGCTGAATGTTTTGATATCAATATAAAGCCGTCTTGTTCTTGTTCAAAAAAGTCAATTCAGCCATAACTTCATAAATTTCAGCAGAATCAGCTGATTCAGCCGATTTTAGTATTACCAAACGGGCTCGTATCCTTATTTAATTGTACTATTTGTTCACATAAATATTCTTATATGCGGAATATATATTTAAGTATATATAGTTTTAGATAAGGGAAACCCCACATGACTCATCGTCCACTCACATAGTCCCACATTCCACGTCCATAAATGTTGGAGAAGTTATGTGTGACTATGAGTTAATACTTCGGAATTAACTCAATTAAGATGATTAAGAGGAATTTCTTAACATTTTGCGCCCAGCTGCCAAAGGAAATTTTCAATGTCTTTTTTGAGTGATAATATGTGTGTAACACTTCTTAATCTATTAGAGTATGTGTTCTATTTAATTGTTCAGTCTAATGGCACCAGATATGGTTTAGGTGTGCAATTTTGCATGTTTGTGAAATAATTAAACATATTACCCTCCTAGGAGTCTCACAAATATATTTATATTAGGAAAATAGAATGTAAAATACATAAATCACTACAAGAAATCTCGCAATTTAGTGGCGGAATATCCGTCGCTAACTCCGCTACAGAAATTCTTGGTGACGGAAATCACTGACGGATCGTCCGCCAGTAAATTCTGGAAGTAATATTGTTTCGTGGCGGATTTTCAAATCTGTCAGTGATTAGAAGCGGACTTTTGTGACGGATGGTTCCGCCAACAGTTTTAGTGGCGGAATATCTGTCACTATTATTCGCCGGTAATTAATTTTTATTTACAAAAAAAATATTCTTCATTTATGAATTGCTCTCAATTCAATTATTATTTATGTATGCCTACCAAACCTGTTTATATTAATTTATCAAATCAAAGCATGAAAAGATAAATTTGAACCATTAAATATAATTAAAATCAAATATTGCCAAAAAATAATACTCTGTATATTATACTAGCTTAGATTTTACATTAATTAGATTCCAGGTCACTACTAAAGCCCCAACTATGCTAAATCCAAAAAAAACATCCAAGTCAGTGTTAGTATCTAGTGTTCAATACTAAATCCAAAAAAGGCATACATATCACCACATTAATGTGGTTTAAAATGATTAAGCCATTTCAAAATTAAAGTTATGCATCTAGTTGGATAAAGAATCTCCATGTGACTGTTGAGAGTCTTGAGAGGATAAATCTTGTTGTGGAAAGAAGTTTGGGGCATCAATTCCATATGACTTGAAGAACGGAAGCCATGTTTCTTCAAAACTTTTAGGTTGTAACTCGGGATTCTTATTTGTCAAACTTTCATCCACAAGAGGCATAACCGGTGGAGCCTCATGACCATGCGAAGACAACCATTTTCTCATATGCTCATCCCAAGCAACACAAAAATCATGCAAGCGTTTTGATGAAGATCCTTTATGATTTGACTCTAATTGGAGAAGAAACGCTTTGGAATACCTTCCCGTTCCCAAAATTCTTTTCTTGTTGTACCCAACGACATCAAAATACTTGAAATGCAACTCAGAAATTACTGATTTTGCTGCCGCAGAAATTTCAGCTTCTTGTGATTGATGTTCACTTTCAGCTTCATGGAATGTAGTAGACAGCTTGTTAATAACCTCCTGTGCAAACAAAATGATGCAAGTCACTCAAATATTTGATACTCTCTAATAAAAAACATTAGGTACAATGCATGGTATGTTGCACTACGTATTAAACTAATGAATCAACAACATCAAAATCAGAAAAAAGAACTAAAATCATACACTACACAATTAAAAAGAGAATATTGCCGGTATTTTTTTACAATAACGACACAACTCACAATTGCTCAAAAAATCTCAATAGGATGTTTACAGATTTAATACTATAAACTACGTGTAAAGTGGTGACCTAATACAATCTTGAGATCAAATCTTACATAAATAAAGTTACCAAATAGAGTAATTATCGAAAAGAATTTGATAAGTGTTAAAAATAACCAAACACATCCTCCACTCTTTTCTGAGATATGAATGTACAGTTAGCGTGTGTGTAGGACTGCGTTTGAGGCTTTGAGCAAATTGGATAGTAGCAAGAGGGGAAGCATGGTGATAACTAAGCAAATAAAATCTTCAAAGTCAGTTGTATTGGCCATTAGAAAACACTCCAAATATATACAATGCATTTACACACACAAAGCAGGGGTTAAAATCACAAAAAATAGCCCTTATATATAATGCATTTACACGCTCAGTACACGGGCTAAAAACAGAAAACAATACCCATATATACAATGCATTTACACACTTAATAAGGGGGCTAAAACAGAAAACACTGACCATATATGTACAATACATTTACAGACTCAATGATGGTACAAAAATCTTTAGGGTTTAGAGCAGATTGTTATATGGTTATACATTTAAATTAAATAAATTAAAATATTTATAAATGTAAAATATAGAGACCCAAGAAGCAGAAAAGTAATTACATACCATAACTTTCGGTTGTGAAGAATAATCAATTAGCTCTCCATTCTTCCTTTTCTTTGGATGGAAGGTCTCACAAAGTTTGACAGGATTTATATGTTCACCGGTAATCCTCAACTAAAACAAAATGCAAAAACATCATCCAATGAATCACCTAAAATTTGAGACATATATCAAAATAAATTTTAAACTCACCTCTTGGGCTGCCACATCAACCGCAGCTCGAGAACCCCCATATTGTTTGCATTTGTCCCCAATGGCAATACGATTTCTCTTACCAGCAGCAGATGCCCTCTGAAATTGCGTTGACCTCTTATACTCTTCAACAGCAGCCCAAGTGAAGTCATTCACTGTTACAGGCCGTTTTTCTCTTCAAGTGTAATAAGGATAACCATTATATTTCAAGTTAATTAAATAAATTGACTAGTAAAAATAAATATCATTCATTATGCTCACCTGATATCACCCATGATATTGGAGTAAGCACGATTCTGTAAATACTTTTCATAACCTTCCTTGATGTCTTTAAGTTTGAACTCAGAAATATTCCAAGTGACTACATCCTATATACAATCAAACCTTCAATCTTTAAGAATATAGGTGCTTTTGAGTTAAAATAAAGTGTTTAACTCCAGAAAAGGTATGACAAAACACTTGAAAACACTTGAAAACACATACCATATATAATTATATTCTAAAACAACACATATTACTCACACATACCTGGAATTGTTCCCAATATAACTGTTTAGTTTTATCAGGGACCCATTTCCATTGTTGTCCAGCTGGATGAAGATTATACTTGATTTGTTTTGAGACAATTCCTTGAAAATTTAGACTTGTTTTGGTAACAGATATGTTGATTAGACTGCATATAAAGTATACATTATTTATTAGTAATTGTATAGTAGCATTAAAGAATAATGTATACACATAAATAATAGTTAATATTACACTTACTTTCCTGCGACATTTACACCGACATTGGGTCTTTCAAATTTTGCCACTGATAGAGATTTGAAAGGATCTAATGGCTCTTCTCCCCAATTAAGATCACCGTAGGTATTATGTTTCCAATCAACGATCTCATCTTCCACATCTTCATTGTCTTCAAATAGATCATCATGTATATGTGATGTTGAAGGATGTTGTTGGTGAGAGAATGTAAGACTCAGTTGCTGGTGGTTTAGGGATGGAGAAATGATTGGTTGTTGGTTATTTAGTGGTGTGATATTTGGCCTAGGACCTCGAGGTAAACTATATTGTGAAGGAGGCTGTTGGGGAGGCTGCCTTGTTTGCGGCATCTGTTTAGTTGTGTTAATAGGCTGCCTTCTCCCATGTGAAGAAACGGGTGGAGATGGTGTTGAACGGCTAGAACCGCCCAATATCGCTTGGGTTACATGCCCTGATTTGTTATTCTGATAGCCAGATCCAAGTCCTGAGCTAGGAGTCAAGCTTCACTTTAGTAAAGAAGCCGATGGAGATGGCGTTGAATGGCTAGAACTGCCCGACACCTCTTGAGTTACATGATATTGTTTCTTATTCTGACAGGGAGCTCCAAGTCCTTTAAATGTGGACATTTTTTTATTTTTAAAAGGACCTATGTCAAAAAGAGTGAAACATAAATTAAATAAGAACAAGGAACAAAAGTCAATTGGGATCAATAATCAAAAGAGCAAGGAACATAAACCCAACCAGTAAGAAAATGGGAGAACTATTATAATAAATGCATGAAACGAGACTATTCACTGAAAAAGGAACATAAACCCAACCATGAACTATTATGAAGTTCATAAGTTCACAGTTCACTGGCAGAGCTGTTATAAATGCATGACAGCTCACTAAAAGAAACGAGGCTATTGACAACTTAGATGGGTTGTACGTAACTGTTTTCTGTTATGAAGTTCACAGTTCACCGGCAGAGCTGTTATAAATGCATGAACAAATTCAAAACACAGGAATACATTTAAAGAAACACATAGAAGAGCTATTATATAGATAATTTTTAACATGTACCCCATCCAGCCACCTCAATAGTTGGATCAACTCTATCAATTTATGAATAAAGCAAGTCAACCAAGCAAAACTCAGGGCAATCAAAACTTTGCTCTAAACAGTACACATAGTCACAGACACATGCTTCAGTAAATAGTTGCTCTGCTACTTTGAATGAATGATAAAACTAAAGTCCTTAATAGGAATGAACATTCCACTAACAAATTAATAAACTTATTTAACCAAACTATTAAGAGATGAAGACCTTAATAGCTGAAGCCAAAAGAAGTTCCGTAGCTTTTTTTTACCTAAACAGCTAGTACATCGTAGTGATTTAGCAAACTTAGCACATACACATAGTACATACGAAGTACATCTAGAAGCACCAGCCGAAAAAAAATGCACTCACCTTGTAACTGCACAGAGTGAACAACGAATTATGATGTTACCAAACGAAAATATTTGAAATATAATTTTTATAAGAATCAGCAGAATCAACCAATACAGCCACTTCAACCAGAACTTCATAAATTTCAGCAGAATCAGTCAATTCAGCCAATTATGATGTTACCAAACAGGCTCTACATATTTAAATGTTTGAAGTTTTATCATCCTATTATTATAAAATTCAAAAATTATAAATAGTATGCTTAAAAAATAAAATTCAAATAATTGCTCGCTTTTTTTTTTTACCGAAACAAATCGATAATATAAAAATAAAGAAATACACATTGATCGCCACCACTTTAAACATCATCATCATCATCTGTGCATTCAACTTCATCTTCTTGAACATCATTGTTGTTATTATCTCCATGCTCATTGTCATATGCTCCGTCTAATGCGTCATCCATATATTCTGGAGCAGTCGAGGTGGCAGGACGACCACTAGGGTCATCAATATGTTGTGCCCTTGAAAAATCTAACTCTATGTAGAATGAGATTCCCGGTTCATTTTCTTGAAATGCTGATGGTTCTTCCTCTTCTTCTTCTTCATTTGATTCTTCACCTCGTTCTTTCTCCACAAAAGCTCGGGGCATGCATTGAACAACAGATTGCCATCTGTTGGCCTTCCTCTTTGCACTCGGATACAGTAATACACAACTTGATCAGCCTGTGATGCTAAAATATAGCAATCTGGAGTACGAAGTCGGTGTTGCATGTGTACATCAACTATGTTGTATAATGGATGGACTCGTGTACCTCTATCAGAAGGATCAAACCATTCACATTTGAAAACAAGTACCTTGTAATCTTGATATTCCAACTGAATTATTTCTTGTATCAATCCATAGTAATCGAGCCTCGATCCATCAAAACTTGTGCACTTCACCATAACTCCGCAATTACATGTAACCCTATCTTCAGAACGCTCAATAGTGTTAAATTTATAGCCGTTTATATTAAGCGTCTGGTAAGTAGTCACATATGGAGAGGGAAATCTAGATAAAGCACGAAGCCATCGTGGATGATCTATTATGTCGTTTTCCACCTAAACAAAGCACAAAATCTTAATACATACAATGTATAAAACTCTATACAGTACGTAGTTCGACTTTATTTAATTAAATAAGGTAGTTTAGATTCTCACGTAGTGGTAAAACCAAAAAGGAAAGTTGGCTTGTAGTTGGACTTCGTCAGAACTAGATAATCCTGTTGTATTGATAAACATCATGTAATAAAAGACCACGCTCACATTTAAATATAAGTACATTCAATATATCACACCACATTAAAAATGACCAAACAATGCTTAGAATAGTATGACTTACTCTCGGAATGGTTGGATTTCTACACAGTTCTGCAACACATATGAGTGAACAGCACTAGATTCGTTTTGGTTCATGTGTCGCCGCGTGCTTGCACCGACTGCTTTTGCCTTTTGTGCAAAAATTGAAGCGCTAGCATCATCATTAATAAAGAAACCACCATCCAATCTATGCACACGGCGTTCATTTGTAACCACTTCCTCCGGGAAATAGTAACTCGCAAATGTACCCATCTCACTTTGCAAATAACCTTCCCTGATTGAGGCCTCAACTCTTGCCTTGTTTCCTATTTTTGTCTTCAAGACTGATCCTAGGAAACTATGTCAATGATAACACTTAAGACATGAAGTAAAATTTATAAAAGATTATAGTAACCGAAAGAGAAAAAGTAAAAGACACTAACTTTTCAAAACGATACATCCAACGATACTGTGCAGGTCCGCCCCACAAAGCTTCATCTGGTAAATGTACAACAAGATGCTCACTGGGGTCAAAGAATGACGGTGGGAAAATCTTCTCCAACTTGCATAGAATAATGGGAATATCTGCCTTGAGCTTCTCCATGTCAGAAACGGTGATATTCTTTCTTGTTAACTCACGAAAGAATAAGCTAATCTCTGTGATTGCCTCCCAAATCGAAGCAGGTAACATCTCTCTAAAAGCAATCGAAATTAAACGTTGCATAAACACATGACAATCATGACTCTTCATGCCAAACACTTTAAGTTTTTCCATTTCTATGCAACACCCTAACCGAGAAGCAAAGCCGTCAGGGAACTTCAATGAATCAACCCAATTGCATAACATTGTCATTTGCTCACTTGAAAGAGTAAAAGGAGCCTTAGGGAATTTTCCGTGACTGTCCCTCTCGATACTCGGCCTATGGCAAATTTGTTCCATATCCATTCTCCTTTAGCATGGTCCTTCGATTTTCCTGGCACCCCCAAAATTGTATAGAACATATTCTCAAAGAAATTCTTCTCTATGTGCATCACGTCGAGATTATGTCGTACAAGCAAATCCTTCCAATACGGGAGATCCCAGAATATACTACGTTTCTTCCATCCAATATCTTTTCCAACTATTTTATTATGCTCAATACCTCCTAGTTCAGTCACGGGCATCAGGGAACCGACCTCATCATAGCAGTATGAACCATCTCTCGGTAACGGAGAGCCATAGAAGATTGATTTTCCCTTAGTAAAGTTCTCATTATCAAACCGAAATGGATGATCACCTGGTAGGAACTTTCTATGATTATCAAACCAACTATGTTTTTTGCTATGGGATAACCAAAATGCTTCAGTAAACTCAGCACAACATGGACATGCAAATTTTCCCTTTGTACTCCATCCAGAAAGCATGGCATATGCGGGAAAATCACTTATTGTCCATAGCAACATAGCTCGCATATTGAAATTTTCCCTTGATAATGCATCATACGTTACAACCCCAAC